TGTTCATGCTTGCCAAAGAGCTTCTCGAAAAACTCTCCGAAGCCATGCATCAACTTTGCAAAGAAGCCTGACGGCTGAGGTCTGGTCGATTTGAGCGCATCGTACGCGACCACCAATTTGGCGCCTGGTGGCGGAACAGCAGGTGGAGGTCCACTGACGAACTCCTCATCGAAGAGCGCAGAAACGCCAAGAGGGGAGTTGAACATGTCGTGACAATCGTGACCTACGCCCGGTACGATGGAGAAGCGATGGTGAAAATGATCCACTCTTTTCGATTTGAGATTCTTTTGCAACATGTCCAAATTCTCCTTGGGAAGGTAGGGCGAGAGATCCATCCTTGTGCCAGCCAATGCATTCTGATAGGCCCAATAGGCTAGATTTCGATCGTGCCTGTTCATGCCGCCCTGTACAAAGCATTGGAGCTTGTATCACTCCCAAGGGATCAAACACGACATGCATCCGTGGCCAGTGAATACATACTCACTTGAGCTTGAGCAGCGCAGCTCTGATCCCCTGTGTCCATCTCGTGATGCACATCCTCATCTCCCGAGAGTCTAACGATGTCCATCTTTGCCCATTCTGCGAACCTGTCCTTGGTCAGTCCAGCCTTGACATATCGTGGTACATCGCCATGTATTTGGTACCTCCAAGTATGCAGCGATTTGCACTTGTCCTTGGCTGCTTTGGCGTGCATGGACCAGTCGATTGGTCGATCGTCGGAGAAGTAGAGGTTGGAAGGAGCATTCGCTAGCACGTATCTGATTCTGACACTACGGCCGGTAGCCGCTCCTAGAGCAGCTTCGGCTCCTCCTAGGTAAGAGTAGCGAGCCAGCATCCCAGCTCCGGCACTATGTCCGCTGAAAGTGATCCTCTCCAAATTGGGGTACGTGCCAGATAAAACCAATCGTCGAAGCAAGTGATCCAACACGTCGAATGCGCTGACGCGCTTTGCCCCCGTAGATGCATCGTGACCGCTTTGCCACTTGGCTTCCCAATCCGCCTCTTTTCTTGGTCTGAAATCCCACACTAGCTCTGCAGCTCTGGACATTGGATCGACCTTGGTGAAGAAGCCTGGAGCGATGATGAGGCAATCTCGACGCCTTCCAACGGCAGCTTTGATGGCTCTATAGGAACGATGCGGATCGCGATGCTGTCCATGAAGTACGATGAAGCTGTTCACGATCAAGGGCAGGTTGCATCTCAGCGATGAAAGTGTCAGCGCCTCTACACCACACCTGACGACGAGCAGCACGTTCGAGACATACTCACGCACGTCTGACGAGCGGACGAGGCTCTGCATCATCGGTCCACTGCTCACTCACGAAAGCGATCAAGCCCGATTTGGGTTTGCCAGCGTCGATGCGCACAGCCCTGGCACCCACAGAGCTGGCCAATCGAGAAGCAAGTCCGAATCTGAATTCGATGTCTGCCGCTTTGGAGCTGTCTAGCGATGAGCCGGGATTGGAGAGACCGTGCATGATGGGTCCGGATGAGCAGTGGTGCAGCATGACCAGGAGAGCTGCCGCTACAGGTCTTGGTCTGCTAAATAGCCGCATGCTGGGTCAGGAGGGCAACGCGTCCTGCGCGAGCAAGATGAGCAAGTGCTGCGTCGAGTGTTGGGCTACCTGCTTCGATCAAGGGGCTCCTGAGAGGTGCAATGAGCAGCACTTTGCAGGAAGGATGGGAGTGAGCGAGGAGATGTCAGCCGTGCGGTCCAGCCGGATATGGTGTTTGAGGGGATGATGTGGAAGTTAGCGCTATGACTTGACTTGACAACACAGGCCAGCCCGTGCAGGATCAGTGAGTGCGGATGAAGAGGAGGAGGAGGAGGAGGAGGAGGCGGAGGAGGCGGAGGATGAAGAGGAGGATGTGGACGGGTCAGGGCGATGTTTGCGAGTGCCAGGTCCAGCTGGCATCATTGGTTCTTCAAGCCTGAAGAAGTCGAGGCGAGAACAGGAGAGTGGGCAGAGTGAGCGACTTGGAATCGGAAACGTGCGAGAAGCCAGCTCATCTCGGGCGGTCGCTTGGCCATGCGGTATGACAGAAGCGAGGCAGCATGTGCCAGGCGCTGATGGCGTCTGCATTCCCACCATGGGCTCCATCATCGCGGGGCAAGGGAACGAGCATGATGGAGCATGAACCTCGAGCTTGCGAGTGTGCTAAAGCGCTGGCTTGGTCGAACGTCAACTCTGAGCCCGATGGAGCTGGACGGTGTGAAAGCAGTCCGGGTGCGGCGATGAGTGGTGCGGTGCCAAGCACAGCAACCTAAAGCCGTACCTTGATTGTGGACGATGGAGCGTGCCTGACCCGCCAAAGCTTTCACAATTCCGCGCAAAAATAAGCCCAGACATTCACAATTCGTGATCAGCGATGAAAGAGCGGAGTATGCGTGGCTTTGCATCTGCTTGCGAGCTTGGGAAAGAGCGTTTGAAAAGCGCGAACAGCGCTGTGCTGTTGTGGCATCTCGATCGCCAAGTAGCGCAAGTGTCATCCACGCGCTGCGAATCGTGAATGCTTGCGCGCGCACCATGGTGCCCCATGCGGTAGGTACACAATCACGAGTCGTGGAGCTCTATAGCGTAACGTGGCTCGATCGTGCCTCATGACTGTTGATTGCGAGTCTTCGACGCAGCGCCGCGTGATTCCTTCAGATCTTCGTGATTGCATTCAAAATTGCAAATCTTCTGAATTGTGATTCTCTTAATTGTCATTCGTGATTGTGATTACCCGGCGAGGTATACAAAGATCCCAAAAGGCGTAGGCGCAGGCGCAGGTGCAGGCGCAGCGCTGCGCCACAGCCAGCATAAACGCATCTATGTGCGCCTGTACCTCGGCCCTGACCTTCATTCAAGATTGCGCCTACGCCGTTGTCCATGGCTGCTGCTGCTGCTGCTGCTGCACCGACATCTGCCTCATAGGCGCATTCTTGATTGTGATTGTTTGAGCGAATAAGAAAACCTCGATCACGTCTTGTTACGTGGGTGAAATTTCGAATCTGAAGCTGCGTGTCATTGAATGCTGATCATCACATGCTTACCCTTCCCAATGCTCGGCGGCAATTTGACTTTAGTCGTGAGTCCCATTACCAGCCAGGAAGCTCTGGATGCCTCATAAATTGGGGTAGGTGTAGGTGATGGTGATGGTGTTCCTGTGCAGATGCACAACGTACTCTCTTGAACGATGTTGATCCAGGATGCGTGATCGCTGCTCGGCTAGAGGAGCACAGAATCTGGAATTCACGATTCACTGATTCTTGATTTGGAGCGGTGCGCCGCTGGGTGGTCACGTGTTTCTGTCGGAGAGGGCGCGCGTGCGTGGCCCATGGCACGTTGAATTCCAACTTTGATTTGGTTTAATTCTTGATTCGAATTTTGAAAGTGTGATTGCGACGTGGAGGTGAACGTACAGCAGCGACGCACGACGTTTGACTCCTCCCAATTCACGATTCGAGACTTCAAGATGAAGAGCGACTGGGTGCATGCACACCACCCCCAGACATCCGCTCATATCTACTCAAGACTGATTTGACCCAACCAGTGGGCCACATCAGCAGCAGCGAGCATCACGACATCATAGGCTAGACCTGCCAAGTGAGAGAGGTTCGAATCTCGTTCATCTTGGGAAAAGACCACACAGAAAGACATTTGCGCATCGACTGGCGATAGAACCGGAGCTCAGCTGGATCAGAAATGGCAGACACGCAGCGAAATGCCACAGAGAGCGCAGCGTCCGATTCCTACGCAGGTGGCTCAACTCGGACCCCGACCAGTAATGCAGATGCACAGCTCAACGTGTCGGGTCTCGAACAGTCAGACTCGCAAGCGGAGGTGCGATCACCATGGAGAGAAGTCAGACTATTTTTGCCTCCCGATACCGCTGGACCTTCAAGTGAGTCCAGAGTCGCACAGCACGCGCGCCGCTGCTAGTCCTTGTGCCGTATGCGGGCCGGGCCTCTTGTTCGCATCGGCAGACCTCACTCCGCCTCTGCCTCTTTGCTCCTTCACCCTAATCTCCTCGGTCGCCTTCTCTGAAGCCGCAAGCCGAATAGCATCTTCGGACTCTGACCCCAAACCTACTGCCGCTGAGCTCAAAGCTGCATTTGGAGGCGCATTGTTAGGCCGCAATGGACCGGACGCTCCGCTGATGACTAAAGCGATGAGGGAGAAGGAGGATGTCAAGCAGGGAAGGGTCAAGAAGCAGTACACTGATGTGAGTTTCGTGGGCGGAAAGTGTTGCGTATGATGTGGGCTATGGGCAGCACAGATGGGCAAGTCTATGAGGACGGCGCAGCACCGAGGATCTCTATCTGAATGCACTCTCGATGCGCAATCACCACAGGTGAGGATACGAATCAGATTCCCATCCAGACATCAATTGGAAGCCGTCTTCCCCATCGAAGCCACAATCAGCGTCGCCTACGATTTCGTGCGCTCCCATCTCAATGCTCAAGCGCAGAAAGCGTCATTCATCTTGTACCAAACACCGCCGAAGAGGGATTTGGGAGAAAAGGATGTCAAGTTGAAAGGGAAAACTTTTGGGGAGATGGGATTTGCGCCTCAGGCAGTGCTGATGCTGAGGTGGGAAAAGGCGGATTGGAACAGTGAGTCGGACTAGCGGACCATTGATTGGAGGTGTGAAGCGCATGCGAGAGGATGCGCTTGTTTTGAACAGGCCTCTCTCATGCCATTTCCCTGACTCATGTTTCGACGTGACCGGCGACAATTTTCGCTCTTCGTGCATCCAGCCTCGACATCACAAGCATACCTGTCCAATGCGCTGCTGCAACAGGCAAGCCCTCTGCCTGCGCCGCATTCCTTCGAGCAACAAGTCAACTCTCCTCATGCAGCTCAGGCCAGTCAACAACCGACCGAAGAAAAAGCAACGGGCGAGAAAAAGATGCCAAAGTGGCTCAAAGGATTGCAGAGTGAGTATGAGAGTGTGCTCACCTTCCAAATCGCTCTCGTTGTCAGATCCTCGAGCTGATGCTGACTCGTGCACCATTCTTTACAGAAAAGTGAATCACGTCTCATTCATCGCACGCACGCAGAGCTTGATCCATGGTTGTACAATTTCAGCCGTTGACATGCAGGATGTGAGATCGAGCACGACTCGAGATTCGCAGCCTTGCAACGCGAAAGGGTGATCATCGAGACGACATTGCGCTGTTGGCGCGATTTGAGGGTATAGTGATAGTGAAGTCGAAAGGTACGGCTCGTAAAGTAGCTCTGTCCGATAGCAGTGCGGCTGCAAACACGCCGCAGAGCCACCTTATCGAATCTGTGAGCACAAAGCAGCGCAGAATTCAGCGATCTGTTCGGGCTGCTGTGCAAACCATGTTCGTCGACGATCAGCCAAGACTCACAGTCTGTGTCTGCTGGGCGAAAGCGACGCGCCTTTCTGGCAAGTCGTCGTAAGATCTTCGAGGGTATGCCTTGTCCCGCTCTCTATGATCGGGATAAGGGCCAAGTCTTCCCTGACGCGCCTCTCTCTCCCGATCATTCTCTCGGTATGGACTCTGCCTTGCTCCAAACTCCTCATCGTAATACGCTCTCGCTTGCTCAGAGTCTTGGCTCCGTGGAGGAGGCAAGCTCTGCCTCCTCGTCGCCGAGTCTCGAGCACCTCCTGCATTTGGTGGATGCAGCGAGGCAGCAGCTCTTTCGGCAGCCAAGGCGGTCGGATGTCGGGGAGGTGGTCGTGGCGCTTGAGCCTGCCCGCTCAAAGCATCGCCATAGCCATGAGCGCGAGCACGAGAAGAGGACGCCGCGTACGGATCCGTCACAGTGGATCTGTACGGTGCGTTTGCGCTCCCTCCACCAGAACCGTAGTGTCTTGCACTGCACCTCTGGCAGCCGCAGACTTCAGAGTGGGGCGGATCATCATCCGCATCCGCAGAGGTGCGCGATGGTAATTGTGGCGGAGGCGAGGCGAACGCGGCTCGAGGAGGGACTGGGCTCCTCGCGCCCGCCCGTTCACGATCTCCGTAGTAGCCTGCCTGTGGTGCAGCTAGGTACGCATCTCGCTCGCGATCCAGCGCGCTCCCGCCTTCGTATGCGCGTTGACCGTAGCTCGATGCAATGTCCGAGACGCGCCGCGTGTTCTTCGGCATATCCGCTGGAGGGTTGGAGGTCTGGAGCAAGACCGGAGACGGTCAGTCTCGAGTCTCAAAGGTCGAAGGTGCCACCGCGGGCAAGATACTCACAATGCGCCTGTACCCTTTGTTCTGCTGCTCTTCTTCTCGTTCCATCTTTTCAACTTGGTATCGCGCTTTCATGCGAGCAACAAAGCTGCGCTCGCTCTCTGTGCTCAGGGTGCGAGAGACGCTAGCGCCGGACAGGCGGCTGCCGCCAACCGAGGGAACATAGCGCTCTCGCTCCCGCTCGCGATCTTCTAAGGTAGGTTCAGGCTTGCTTGACGTCGGGCGACCCGAAAAGGAGCCCACACCTGCCCGATTGACCGAGCTCGAGGGCGCAGCCTTTGTCGGGGTCGTGCCAGCACTGGAATCTGCAAATGAGCGATCAGGTCTAGCCCAGCTCGTGTTGGGGCTATCAACACTTTCGCGAGCATCTCCAACTCCTTGCCCTCCAGCACGGTTGCGATCCCTCAGCTGTGTCTCGGCGTCCTGCAATCTTCTAGCAAGATCCGCTTCACGCTCCATCAGCCTTTCTCGTTCCCTTTCCCTCTCCCACAAGGACAATCTGCGCTCGTGTAGCTGACCAGGAGGCGGCGCTTCGGTGCGAGCATTCATCTCGGGCGCTTCCTTCCGGGGAAAGCCTAAGCCAACTCCGCCTGTGAGACCCGTGCTGTAACCATCACGGTCTAAACCCGACAACCTCTCCGATTGTGCTTCTTTGACGCTCGACAGTGGGCGGACTGGCTCCAGATCACGGGGTGTTGCCGGGGCAGGTGCGGACGAGTCGGAGGAGTTGCCTGTCGTGCGACTGCCACTGCCGGTACTGTCGCTAGGGGTGGCAGTGTTAGCCTCGGAAGCATCAGTATCGCGCGTCACGTTCCGATCGGCAGACGTCGCAAGGGCGGCGCCACGGACATCTGTGGGAATGCGCGGAGGGCTAGCGGGAGAGCTAGGCTCACCACGATCGATGATCGTGCCCTCCGCAACGCTCGAGTCTCGCTGCGCATGTCCATCGCCGAGCTTCTGCTCGGCATCCACTGCGTCAGCAGCACTACTGCTGCGCATGCCGGCGTTGGTCGCAGCCCGTTCCAGGGGGTTGGAAGCGATGGGCGTAGTGGCGCTTGGCCCGACCGCGGAAGAAGTCGCGTTATTGCTGGCAGTCGATAGGCCCATGCTATGTTTACGCCTGGCGAAGCCAAGCAGACCACGTGCTTTCCCGATGCTCTCCTTCTCAGCTGGGGCCTTCTCGCTCGCTGCATCGACCGGTAGATCCTCGGCAAGCGCGCCACCTGTCTGGTTGGATGGCCCTGACGGCTTGCGGTCAAGCACGCGAGGCCCTACTGGCTTAGCAACCGCTGCAGCTGATCCGGTTCCGCCATGAGAGTACAATGGTGGGGCGTTTCCAATGTTGCTTTCGGAAGCACGCGCAGTCTGAGCGTCCAGCTCGCCTTTTTTCTCCTCGACGGATGACGGCGACGTGGCGCTGGCGTCCACTACTCTTCCGCTACTGTCTAACCTGGGTAAGTTGCGCATGACCTGCGGTGACTGTTCCAATTCCTCTGGCTTGGGGTCGTTGGAGGCAGGAGTGCTCGCTCTTGCGGCAGCCGGCGGGGCCCAGCCAAGCTGCTGTGCGGTCCAAGCAGCTTGCGCTTGTTCCCTGGCGCTGCTCAAGGCGGCCTCTCTGGCTGCCAAATTAGCTTGTGCCTGCAGTTCTGCTATTGCTAGCATCGTTGCCTTGCCGACTTCTTCTTCGGAAAGGTCTGCAGGCTCTCCACCGGCGGGCATAGCTTCGCTGACTGCTAAATTCAGCCAAGAGTTGACACGACCCACGTGCGCCCCACTTCTGCGCACCGCTTCGCATGTTTTGCGGAATTCGGAGTCTGCTAAACCTCCCAGCGCTGCGGCGACCACTAGACTGGTGGCTTGGCTCTTGGCTCCAACACTACTTGCATGGGACGCTTTCGCGCGTGTGATGTCCGCCGTCAGCGCGCTCACCTGAGCAATGTAACGGTCGTGGCTCTCGATGGCCCTTCCGCCCGATTTTTTGACATTCTTTTCGTGGCCTGCATGTGCCTTCTTGACTTTGCTGTCGAGCGTCTCTAATGTCTCATCGTGAGCTCGCTCTTCCTTGGCTACCCGCTTAAAAAATTTGGCACAGTGGTCATTGAGAGATTCATACTCGCGCTGGACCAGCTTCGAATGCTTCGTCGAGACCTCAGAAATGCTTTCGAGCAGAGCGGCTGACGTGATCAGCGTTTGGCCTGTGCGAGGAGAGATGCGGCGCAAGATCATATCAGCACGCATAGCAAGCACGACAACATCTTTAGAGAAGAGCCCGCGACGCACCAGGCACTTCCGCATACGGCTTCCCTTGACCAAGCTCCTTGGCTCCTTTCGCCAGACGTTTCTCGCACTTGGCCATGCGAGCGCTCAGGTCCCTGTACTCATCGAAAGTGACGAGTAGCGATTCGAGAGACTTGAGGCTCTTGTGCAGATCGCTTCTCTCCAACTGAGGTCCATTCCCACCAGGTGACGCGGACACCGTTCCCGTGGTTGGCGTCGGACTAGTGGATCTTCCAGGGACATTGTAGGAGCCCGACGGAGAGATGGAAGGAGTAAGAGCGGCAAATCCAGGAGTGGTTGGCGTACCGCTCACACCAGGCACACCAAGCGCTGCGTGAGGGTTGAAGTCAAAGTAGGCCGCTGCTGCTGCGGCCGCAGCCGCGGCCGAAGCCTGGGGTGAGAACGGGACGTAAGCGGGCCCACTGGGCGTGCTTGATCGAATAGATCCACTGATGCTCGCCGCATCATAGCTGGACGTCAAGTTGCCTGCTACTGCGGCCGGCATTTGGGGCGGTGCCAAAGTGCTGTAGGCTGCGTCGGCTGATTGCCAATCATCGTTTCGCCCGGCGGCGTTGTTCTGCAAACTTTCCGGCAGATTCGAACCGGCTGGCCGACTGTCTCCTCCTCGAAGAAACTTCTTCATGGTCGAACAGTCTCGATGAGGTTGCTGGTGTCCACCTTGTGAGGGTGTGAAGTTTGCACCGAATTCAGAGAGCTCGGCGACATCCAGGTCGTACTGTAGGCTAGCCGTGCGGCTCTTGACGATGAGGATCAGGGGTCTTGACGGCGTTCGGGGAGCGCTTGCTCTCAGCTGGACAGTCCAAGGGCTGGGAACTCTGACATCCAGCAGGTGTCGTGGAAATCTGGAGGGTCCGAGCCGAATGAATGATGCGTCCTCTCTGGACTTTGAAGCTGATCCAGGGAGCACATCTAATCTGAAGTCGACGACTCGCACGGCACGGCGGCAGGACAGCAAAAGCCCACAGCTCCCGTGACCAGCACAGCACGCAGCCAAAATAAAGCTGCTTTAGGGGCTTGCGCGTGCTTGCGCGTGCATGGGCGGTCCGGTCCGGCCGGCACGACCTTGCACCACATCATGAGACAAACCAGCGTACGGTACAGTACGGTGCGTGCATCGCGCCTTTGATGCGCGAAGTGATTGGCGGAGGCTGAACCCGCTTGGGCCGGCCAGTGATGAGTGTCGTTGCTTGATTTCTATTCTTTCAGGCGGATGCAGACACATCAAGCACGAATGACGAATCCTAAATATCGAATCAGAGATGCCGATGAGGTCGGAAGCCGAACGTGTGAGGACCTGCGGTAGTTGGCCCATGCAAGCACACGCGTACGGCAAGGCATGCCTTTCATTGAGGCGGTGGCCTAT